ACAAAAAAAAAAAAAAAAAAAAAAAGCATTCTCCATCTGGGATTAACGCAGGTAAACAGAGACTTGTCCAGCCATCCTGCAATGCTCTGAATGGTCCTGCTGCACACTGTCCTGCATTCTCTGCTCGTCCTTCACACCGCAGTTACCGTGCATTCAACAAACACAAAACGGTGTGAATGTGGTCCAGACAGAAGATCGGGTTCATTCTGAGCTAGGCCAGAATACCATAGACAATGGGAGGAGGTAAACGTGTTCAGAAGTGGGTTGCCCGGCCGTGAACCCCGGGCAAGTCGCCCGGGGGTCATCTGCACAGGGCACCCCGTGCAAGCAAAAATCTGGCCCTTCAGCCCCCCTTTTTTTTCTGGCTCTGTCCGAATCCGGGCTGATTTTTGTTTATAAAACACTTTCAGATGTTGCCCAAACCAGACTCTCAAACACTCAGAACAGACAAAAACAGACCCAAAACAGACTCAAACACATTCAGAACAGGTTGAAAACAGAATCAGACACACACAAATGGACCTGTACACTAAAACAGACTCACACAGACCCAAAATAGGCTCAAACAGACTCGAAGCGGTTAACGGGTAGCTGAAAATTCAGGAATGAAAATTCTGAACTGTAATCAACATTGATTTTTTTTGGTGTAAAACTATAAAAGAAGAAAATAAGAAAAAATATGACTTATCCTTTTTATTCTTTTTTTGAATCTAATTCTATTTGTAGATCTAATTGAATATTATAATAGAATATACAAATCATGTATAGACTTTTCTGAGAATAAAAAGTTTGATAGAAAAATCTTTTCCATTAGGTTATCGACCGTTTTTAGGTTACAAAGGAGCTAATCAAATTGCTGATCTAGTATATAATTCTTTCACACTTGGAATGGAAGATCATCTACTAGAGATTTTTGGCGGTCATGATACTAAAGAAGTAATAACTAAATCATTATCTAATAATAGTGATCTTACTTGGAGCGCAGATGGATTAAACGAATTAAAGAAAATTCCGGGCTTTGGTCTATACGTATAGATAGATTTAATATACTTAAATAAACGAGTTAATTGCTTAAGCAACTCAAAACCAATTACTTGATTTATTCTCATACAATCTATAGAGTAATAGAATTTACATAGAAATACAAAATACTCAATTTATAATGATAATGACAAATATATATTCCTTAATTACTTAGTCTATAGAGTTTTGGGCAGTCTGAAAATCCCGAATGCTCCTGAAGTGGTGAAAGGTCCGAAGACCCTGAAAACCACCTGCTTAGGCAGGCTGCATCCTGAAGTGGTGAAGTGAGAGTGTTGGGCAGTCTGAAAATCCTGAATGGTCCTCAAGTGGTGAAAGGTCCGAAGACCCTGAAAACCACCTGTTTAGGCAGGCTGCATCCTGAAGTGGTGAAGGGTGTCCTGAAGTGGTGAAAGGTCCGAAGACCCTGAAAACCACCTGTTTAGGCAGGCTGCGTCCTGAAGTGGTGAAGGGTGTCTTGAAGTGGTGATGAAAATACGATCGTTGTTAACCTTCTCTCACGGATGTATGGACGCGAGCAGAGTTGCACAGGCCGACGGTTCACGCCCCTTGATTCGTCGGCTGCCGACCAGCCGACCGGTCGACAGTTGTCAGCACCCCTTTTTCAGGGAGTCCATAATCCCCAATAACCCCACCAACACCCCTAAAACGGCCCCCAACACCCTCATAACCCCCTGCGCCGCCCAACAATACCCCCTATACCACCCCTATACCCCCTCGTCCCCCTCCCCATCCCCAAAAGTTTCTCAGCGGATTTTTAAGCTGTCCTCAGCAAGCGCTGTACAGCCCCATGGTCAGATTACAAAAACAAAAGTGGATGACTGTGACTGGTCGGCAGACCGCCTACCGGTCCACCCTGCCGTTAGGCTGCAAAACGGTCGGCAGTCGAGGTAGGCGGTGGGCAGGTAGGCAACCCTGGATTCAAGCCAAATGAAAACAGACACGAACAGACTCAGGAGTCAAATCAGAATTATTCGCAATGTAATGTTAAAAATCACATGAACATCATCGTCACTTCACAAACAGCCTCCTGAATGACAAAAATGGTGGCAGACTTTTGTTGAAACTCCGTCGCAACTTTTGCGCTGTGTAGCACACCGAACATGTTCGGAGCTTTTCCGAACGTCCGAACATGTCCGGGTGTTCGGCCAAACGCCACCTGAACGAGTTCGGCCGAACATATTCAAAAAAAAAAAAAAAAAAAAAAAACTTTTTTCAAGTTTTTTTTGTTTTTTATTTTTAACTCGAGTTTGGTTACGAATTTGACCATACCACCAAGGCAAAAGTTGTTTGTATTATTATTTTACATAACATATATTTTTTTCGGATTTTTTGGTGAACGTTTTTTTTTTTTTTCTAAATATTTTTATGTTCGCGTTGGGAGAGTTCCGGCGCTCGTTCGCGTTCGGTCCCGAACGTTCGGGTTCGGTCACCGAACCCGAACACGATGCTACACAAGTTTTGGGAGGTGCGTCCCATGGACCAGGCTGGCCCCTGGGTCTGAAAAGGGCCCATGGCCAAAGGACAAACATGCGACCGACATCCTGCTCGGGGCATCTGCATAGCCTGGCAGCCAGGCAGCCTCTCGGGCAGATTTGGCCGGCCGTGCGCCCGACCAAACAGCTTGGGTTCTAAACGAATTCCAAAAGACCTTTCGCCCTCTCTCAGCACATCGCCAAATACATAGCCAAGCACAAGGGGAAAAAGAAACTGAAAGGGAAAAAAAAAAAAAAAAAAGATGAAGGGCGAGCACCTAACAAGATCAAGCATAATACAAAAATACAGTAAAAACTCGGAAGATTCAAAATTATCCTTCTTGTGAAACCTAAGGTCTCCTCGATTTCTAAGCTGCAGATAATGGCTGCAGGAGACCATAGAAAAGACACAGCTGCTATCGAAAAAGCATGCCATACAAATATTCTTTGAGGAGGGCAATAGCAAATTACAAAAAAAAAAAAAAAAGAACATTCATAATAATATAATAATAGCAAAGAGAGAACCACACATTTCAAACGAGAGTGGGCTTTCATCAGAGTGTTTCGCCTCCTTCTGTCCTTTGCTTTTCTTCATCTACTCTTTGCCAGCTTTCTCCTGAAAAAAAAAAAAAAAAAAGCTAGGCTACGAGAGTGGTCCGGGACCACTTGCCCGGTCGGGCCAAAATATATACACAAGGTTGCCGGCGTTCGGGACGGGCCGAAGGCCCAAACCCGAACGCCTGAACGTTCGGCATCCCCTCTCGACGCGTTCAGCCGTTCGGCCAAACGTGGACCAAAAAAAAAAAAGAAAAAAAAAAAATCCAAAAAATCTGAAAAATATATATGTTGTACAGAAGAATAAACTAAACAACATTTGCCTCAACATTACATCCAAATTCCTTACCAAATTTGAAATAAAAATCAAATACTATAAATAAATAATAATAATGAAAATTAGAAAAAATAAAACGAGAATGAAATTATTGAGTGGGCGAGCACGTTTTGGACACCGCCATCTTTGGTGATTTTTCATTTGGTTTTGGCTCTGACAAATGCCATGAAAATTTATACATGTGTATCTTAATAAAGTTTGAAAAAATAATTTTTTTTTTCATGCCCCGAAATAAAGGAAAAACAAAAAGTGAAAAGAGAGAAAAAACAAATTAGTGAGTGGGCAAGCAAGTTTTGACACCACCATCTTTGCCGATTTTTCATTTTTTTTTAGGCTTAATAGAATGGCTTCAAAATTAAGAGGGAGATACCTTACATCACAAAGAACTCACAGAAAATATATATATATATCGTCACAAATAGAATATATATATCGGGGTTAAGGTGGATTATCACTTATAGTGTAATCAGTTAGTGGATTCTGCAGACTGTTGAGGGTTCAGCGTCCTGATGAGAGAGAAGAGGACAACAAACGAGGGGCTGTGACAAACTGTTTCGTCGGAGTTTCACCGACTCATCAGGAGGTTGAACCCTCTACAGTCTGCAGAATCCCCTCACTGATTACACTGTAAATGATAATCTACCTTAACCAAAATCAAAGTAGACTATCACTCACCCACACCAGATGGAAAACTCTCTCTCTATATATAATATTATATATATCGTCACAAACAGAACTGCCCGGTAAAACCGTAGGCAGAGAGAGAGAAGAGGACAACAAACGAGGGGCTGTGACAAACTGTTTCGTC